AGAACGGGAATCCCGGGTTAGGAAAGAGCAAGCAGGCTTCCGGCCGCAACGTGACTCTCTGCTGCAGGTGCTTGAACAACGCCACATGTATCGCAGACCGACAATAGCTGCGTTTCTCGACTTCAAGAGTGCGTTCAATTTGGTCGATCGATGCATTCTGTTCGAAATATATGTGCGGAATGGTGTTCCCATGAAATTTGTGGACATTTTACGTGCTCCATACTCGAATACGACTGGTTGCATAAGGGTTTGCGGTGGTTTGTCGAATAGCTTTAAGGCAATAAGTGGCGTTCGTCAGGGCTGTCCAATTCCCCGGTTGTGTTCAACATCGTCGTAGACTCCACCAAGGAATGTCACGCTGCGGAGCTCCATGATGCAAGCGTTGAGTTGCTATCAAGTAAAAAGCTAGTTGATCTTGAGTATGCGGACGATATCGTCTCGCTGTTTAGCAGTGTTTGAGAGGCGGAAGCAACCATTATTTGGCATGCGATTCGCATCGCCAAAGTGCAAAATGTTGTGACATGATCCCTTGAATTTTGATAGCCAAGAGCTCAAGGTAGTTGATCAATTCACTTATCTTGGAAGCTGTTTTAGCAACGATGAGTGCAGAGAAATTGAAATTAGTTCGGGTAATGCGTAACCGGGGACTATCTGCTTGAATCTGCGACATCACTGGCGACAGAAAGAAGTTACCACCAAACTGAAAAAGCCGAGTTTACAAGGCTAGAGTGAAGGCCATCCTGCTCTATGGGAGGGAGACTTGGCCCCCTCGGTCTGAGGCGCCTTCAATCCTTTGATCATCGTTGTCTACGAAGCATTGCTGGTGTCAGGTGGCACCAACGTGTCCACAACGATGATGTGCGTAGGCGAGTACTAGGCAGCGATAACTAAGCTAGTTCCTTAGAATAACAGATGTTACTGAATAAGCTGTGTTGGCTTGGACATGACACCGCTTGGCGAGAAGTATCTTGCCTTATCTGCCAGAGGTAGGGTAGTGCAAGACTCGAGGTGGAGGGAAGTTGACTTTGCAGCGGGAAATGAAGTCACTGACGACCAAACTTGGTGCCGTCCGTCCGGCTCGCCTTCCGGACTGGAATCCATGTGACTCGACTTGCATTTGGCTCGCAGCCGACACCAGTGGCTCGTCTGCTGTCGTCTCCTAGTCGGACTGTGTTTAGTGTTGAGTTATCTGCGGAGTAATGACTGAGTATGACGCGAGGCAGTGAATAGCGCAAGGAAGCTGTCTCGCCGATGCCGCGTTATTTTTGTACAACAGCAAGCTGTTTGTAAGGTTATGTTGTTAACACAAGGTGCGGGCGGCTTGACCTTGAATGTTTGCTTAGGGCATTAAGGTTCCCCGGTTTTCCTCTTATTATTCCTCGTTCCGTAGGTAGTAAAGGTTGTATGGCAGCGAAGCATCAATTTAAATGGCTGATGTACTGTTGTTGATGATGATAATGATGATGAAAGAGCAGTGCGTACAGCTAGAGAAATCGAGCACAGCAAAACAAGCAACAAATGCTAAACGGACTCTGACTTTGACGCTCTTGATGTATGGAAATTAGAGTTGGCTTCTGGGCTGCAGCATTCGGGAGAATTTACAAAAATGTTAAAAAAAGACCAGACATTCGACAGCAACTACTGAACTCCGATCAAACTAAGAAGTCGATTAAAACAAGTGAACGCGTTCACTGGGATGCATTCGATGGATCACGCTCTCCACGTTTAGTGACAGCGGATCAAATAGCGTAAATGTCACTGGCGCAGCACAGACACAAACAAGAAACCGGAGCTCTGAGGCTGCAGACGTATCAGGACGCTGTTGCGTGTGCCTGATACACGGTGTTACAAGAGTAGTAACTCGAAGGGAGCGTAAAGTCATAGCGGTCTCCCATGTTGACCGTATTGTTAAGGCATCCGGACTAGAATGCTTCCAAGTGAAGTATTGGTTTAAGTCAGAAAGGTGAATCAAGCACTTTCCTAGCGAGGTTGGCGAAGTCATAGTTGGTATTTTGCTGACTAGCGGAAAAGGAGGAGGTTTAGGAAAGTAAGCATGAGATGAGGATATTGATGACGGAGTATGAGCAACGTCCGTAGGAGTCGATTATCGTTGCATCTTTCAAAGCCATTCGTTAACCAGTGCTTTGAACGGGTTGGAACAGAATGTGGCTGTTCGAGATAGTGTTGACATTCATAGCTAACGAGATTCTATCGTGCACGAACGCTTCCGATCAACCCAATCTCCCATGGTCAGAGCACGTGGCATAACGTTGTGAGTATTATGAAACAGTGACAATCCAAATAGACAATTGTTTGTTCTTTAATCCAACTAATCCAATAACCAGAGATTCGTCTTCCCTAAACAGGTGTACGGGTGTTCCGGAAGATCCCTAGAGAAACACTCATGATCCGAATCGGACCTGCAGTCTGTGCAAACAGCAAGGTCAAATGCAGCCTTGTGGAACATGAATCTACAGATAATGCTACTCTACTAGGCGATTATACTGCACTCTGACATTAGAGCTGCTCTCGTTGGAACGAAAACCTTGAAAGCCTACCAAGCAGGATAAATAAACAAGAACGTGTGGAGGTACAAGCACGTGTAGTACAAAACAGTCTTAAGATGGCACGGCGAGTTGCGTGCCCACGCACTCCAGCGAGCCATACAAGGTGAAGTGATCTGTGTTAGTTCGGAGATGCAAATAGCGTAGGCATCAAGACATCAGGCACCTAGTACTGCTGGAAACCAGAGCGCTTTCAGCTAGGTCATTCCCAAGTAAATAAGCATTCTGATCCCATCTTTTGACAGTAGATATTGCTTTGTCGGGAGTTCAAATGGCGTTTTGCCAGAGACTTTTGTCTTCTGACATGGCAAGTCGGCCGGTTCAAACTGCGCAATAGCAGCAGGTTATCCGTAGAGTCAGCGGAAAACGAAACAGATTTTTGGTGACAAGGGCAAGCTTAATCAAGGTATTAATCGTAAGAGACCTGAAAGCGGTTTTGCTATAATAGCAGTAGCGGTTCGAAACCGCACAGCTGTGAATGATCAAGACACCCATTGGAGCAATAACGCTCCAATCTACAACTGTCCAAAGTGCGAAAAGCCTTCCGTTGACGCAATAATCAACAGCGTCATTGAATTCGTTTTAGATCCCGCTTCAAAGCAGACTCGATGTGGATCCGACGTTAAGCAGATATTTTCAACACGGAGCCGAAAAATTTTGATGATGCATCAAAAGTACGACTACTGTTGCGTAAAACCGGAATTGCAAAACACCACAGATGGATCAATTACATTTTGCCTAAGAATGCGCAAGATTGTAGCTTTGATAACTAGTTTCCCACCTCAGAAATGTTTGGAGACCAATCCTCGCTTTTCAATAATTGGCACAACATCCTAAAACTGAGTAAAAGAGACAGTCACAGTCTTATTGTTCATGGGGAGACAGTAAAGAGGAAATGTCAGAAGATCAGTTCAAGTGGTTGATGTCGGTATGAAGTCTGCAGTCCTCCAAAGATGTTGATATCCGGACCAGAATATTAAGGAAGTCGGAGCGCGACCCAGCTGTTACTATAATAAGTCATTGCTGAAGCTCAGATGTTAAATCTAAAGTATGATACAGCTATGGCTGCGAAAACAAAGGTTCATCCAGTGGATATTTCTGTCCAGCAAGTTTGCAAGAGCAGCATCCCATTAACTGAGCACAATAAATATCGATAAGCTTGGTGATATTGCGGAGACGGGATTCTTTTGAGATGGTGCCCCTTCAGCAAGCACCCTTATCAGAAATGCCATAGACCTGGACACAAGGAGACACTGCAAATCCAAACTGCCATCCAGGTCAACACATGAGCCTGAAGACAGGGTTACAGCAGATTTGCAAGAAAAGTAAACGCCAACTTCACCGACGATGTTGACAAGAAGGAAGAAAGTTTGTCACTATCAGCACCAACGGGAGATTCGCGCGTTTGCAGATCGGCACGGCTTCCGACATACTGTCATTACGGAAAACTTATAGGAATTTGTAAGTGCATCTGACATCTAACCGACCAACCAACAAGCAATCAGCGTATAAGGCACTGAGCTGAACCGGATCGGTTAGATTTATTGCGCGTGCCGCCTTTCCGATTTCACCGCTTGGGGAACCATTTTCATCACGTCACAAGAATTTGAATTTCCTGGGGCTAGATTGCGTCAAAAGTTTCAACGTACTGGATGTTCCCATCAACCAGCTCTGTGAAATCGTTCAGACACACAAGCCTAAGGTCCCGAAGACAATGGTTATCGGACACACTGATGAGCTGGGGAAATCGGGTAGTATCTCGCCCTCTGACGGAACCATGGAATCTGATGTGTTGTGTGTTTTCTTTTACTATTTCTATACCTTCTTTTGAGTCTCATGGTTTCTGATGGCTCCATGTTTATTCGTAGACGGTTCCATATACATATATGTATGTATGGTTGGCGGCATCCGGTTTCGGATTTGCCTGTCATTGTGGCCAGCCACAGGACGCCTGCGCCTACAGAGGAACCATGGACGGCCACAAGGACCGTGCACCCTGTCCACTCCAGCAACGACCAACTGTCTTCTGGAGCCAGATGGACATGGTAGTGGGTAATAGACAGGTAGGCACCTTGTCGGCAAATTAAAAAAAACGTGCCGACGGTCATTTAAAACAGCGATTGCGTGATATACTGACGCAGCAGACACGAAGGACACCCTGCAGTAAGGTAACAAGGAATAGAGTTGAATTAGTGAGGGTGAGATCGCAGCTGAGTACCGAAGCATGGGAAGTGAGGATTATCTACAGTGATGTGCATAAAAGCAATAAAAGGCATCGATGATATAGTTTCCCTTCGTGATAAAGCGTTTGCAATCGATTCGTCAAGCACAGCAAATGCATGAGCACTCAGTAATGCAAGGACATGTGTAAATAAGAGATCTGGAACACAAGTCAGCAATCTCCAAATCTGCGAAGCTACAAGAAACATTGCATACCTGATAGCAATAGAACCCGTGAAACTTTGGTAAAAGAGTGGGAGGATGCTGCATCAGGTTCATGAAGTAACTGGGAAGCAGAGCACGCAGAAACTCTCCTTCACGATGTTGTACCGTTTTGATGATGAACTCGTCATCTTGCGTGATATAGAATATGGATCCACTGGCCCCTGGATTGGATAATTCCCGGAGTTCGCAATTGCATATAGAGTTCTGAGATGGTGAATGAAGAAGGGAGAAAAATGAGTAGGTAGTGTCCTGGAAGTTCAGACAATATGCCGGCTTCAAAAAACCAAAGCCAGATGAAGGTATATCGACGCTGCAGTCGGTGAGTTGGAGAAATTTAATCAACGAAGATGTACGAACGGGAGTAAAGTATACGCCCAGACACACACTACTGAGTAAGATAATGGAGAGGTTATCGAATGCACAAAGCGGTAGATGCTAGAAATGGTCAAGATCACAGTTCCCAGCGAAATAGAGCATCCTCATAGACAGCAAATTAACGAACGAAATAAATCTAACGAAAACGCGTAGTTCGAGGAAATACCTGATGTGGAGCCGACCATAGTACAGAAAGATACCCAGCGCCATGATGAGGCTACATGTCAAATACTTAGAGGGTAGAGATAAAGGGGAAAATGTAAACTATTTATAAAGCTCATAGCTATAGTGGCCGCGGGGATTAAAGTAGAGGACCAATGTTCAGGTGTATTAAAAATCGTCCGTGAATACGTGAGCACCAGTATGCGTACAAAGCTGAAGCCTGAATAATAACTAAACCGATTAAGAAGCTGACATCACGAAAATAAACAACGGTCTCTTAATTCTACGCTTTAATTACCGGTTAAGACGTGGAAGAAAGTTAGGAAAATGGAATCCACTCCAGTCTCTCAACAACTAACCTATCGAACAGAGCGCAGTGCAACGAGTTGAATCATCGTGATGGTAGAAAGTTAGCAGCGAGAAAAGTGGGCAGAAGGGTACAGTGAAGTAGAATGTCCCAAATGCCGATAGCAAAAATTGAAACTTAAGGAGTGGGCAACAAGGAATGGCAGAAAAAGGGAGGGGAAATGTATATGCTACGTCAAATAAACACTGCATGGAAAGAAATGAAGCAAGTTTAATAGCTTATGGAAGAAACGTGGCAAACTGAGCGATTTATGAAGTATGGGACCAGAAAACTCGGGCCGGCATGTAATACACTAATGAGTTCAGTTCAGTGGAACAACTATGATCCGAGCACCGAAGTGCGGTGGATCCACCTGCCACCACTTACACCGCAAGAATAACAATAAATAACAACGACAAAATAGTGTGGTTGAATGCAAATAAAAGGTAAAGAAAATGGAAGCAAGAAGGTGCGTTGCACCAATCAAAATGGAACGGAAATTAACTAGCAGATGCAGGAAGCCGAATGCAGGGACGCCATTGACTGCATAACTGCGCCATGTCTGATAAGGGGCCCCCGATCATTGGTGCGGACCATCTCAAGGCCTCTATACACGAAGACGGCACGCACCAGTCTGACCAAGTCTCTAGCCAATTTATTCATGCCTCTATGCCACGTTATGGACTGGTCGCCTCGCTTTCGCGAAATTTGGTGCAGCCACGGCGTATAATGCACGCCGAGGAAGCCCGGCAACGGGCATACGGAGGACATAACCTAGCCAACGTGACCGACTAATTCATAAGTTATGCTCATTCGGAAGTCAAAAGGAAAACTGCGAAGAAATTTCTTTTCGATAAATCTTATCAGGCAAGCAGAACTATCAGATTCCTAATCATTCGAATAGAAGCTATTACCAGAAGTGCGGCGATCTGTCGTGTATGCTGCGAGCGGAGGAATAGTGACAACCAATGTCAGTTTAAACCCACTAACCGTTGAGCAAATATGCCTGAGGATCAGCTGTGTAGACTAGGGACACAGTAGGGTTAAAGTTTGTGCAAATACAGTTCCGATTTGAGTTGCTCGATCGCAATTGCTTCTGTCGTGGCCAATAGGCGCTTTATTAGTCTTTAGACAGCGTCTTGATGCCACATACACTATTTTGAAAGCATATTCATTGTGTCATCTCCACTGTTTATTAGGTGTTCTAGAATGGAACTGTAGACGTCCCTGGTGACATGACGTTGTTATGAGGTAGGACAGTGTTCCACTACGCGCTTTGACAGCTTTGACACATCCAAAAATAGCAGCTTACCGTCTACCTCAATCTTACAGAGGAATTCCAACGATGGGTGGGCGTTGTTAAATTGATTCACCAGAGGAAGATGTTCAGCATGAGAGTCATAAACGATGAACGTCTCAGCCATGTTCGCATGCGACATTTGCAAGAACGATGTTTGCAAGCAGCGATCTTAGTGACGATGCCATTGCCACTCCGTCTATCTGGCGATAGAATATTCCATCAAATATGAACTATCTGATGAACGTGCAACGCAGAATCAGCTCATCCAAAATTCGAACAGGGATATAAAGAATAGTATTGCTCTCTGTTAGGTATTCACAGACGAAACTGACCGTTTCCAACACTGGAACGTCGGTTAAAAGAAATTCTACATCGAAGAGCAGCAATTTTTCCCTCACCTTTAGGCCTATCTGTTGAATAAGTGCAAATGTGTCACTCACGGTGACTGAACAATCCTTTGCGTAGTGGTTACAATTCAGAAAACTCTAAAGTGGGGAAGCAGAGGGTTTTTTTTGCCAAAAACCAACTGGCGAAGCTCAGCACTGCTCACTCGATGTTCCCACCAAATGTGAGCAATACTGCACAAGCACCGGTGGTCAACCACGGTCGAGCGTTTAATGGCTTCCCCGCGAACTGGCCATGCCAACGATACACACAGCAACACTGGCTTTGTCGCAGCGTTATACACCCTACCTTTTACTGACAGACTGATATCCCGTTGTCTCCATAGACGGTCGAGTCTCTGGAAAGCCACTACGAACTTGCTGATAAGCCAAGGAACTTCCTCAATGATGTCACAACCAGGTGACCCAGCTACTAATCTAACACTGCTAGTGGTTGTTCGGTGACAGCTGGAACCGGAGATGCATCGATCCAGTCCTGCAGCAGTACTTTACACTTTGAGAGTGCAAATTACATACCGAACCATGCAGCGCGACGCGTCAGTCTATCCAGTAGTGTCTGTATAACCACTGCGTCAGAACCAAGAAGAACCGTCATCCGCATACTCCAAATATGTCAATCGGTCACCTGAAAGAATTTCCACTCTGGTAGTCTGAGAGAACCAAGTCACACATGATCACTTCGATCACAAAGTTGAAATGGAAAAGAAAATATGGGACAACAGTGGCGAACCCCACTGTTCGTGAGGAACACGGCGTCGGATGTCATGGTTGAGAGACTGCATAATGGAGAGAAATTCAGCTTGCACGTCCTTCAAGGATAGGCAGTGCAATAAGCTGGCGTGGTTAACTGAGTCGAAGGTGGCTTGCGAGTCAAGGAAAACCACCATAGTCGGTCGTCTGTATGTGTATCTCTAATCAAAAATTTGACGGAGTAAATATGCTGTCGATATAACCGCGACCAGAGCGGAAACCAGCCTGGCTCTGTGATTCGGTCTTCACTGGGACCAGTAAGTCATCGGAGAATGATATCCGTGAGGTTTTGGGCAACGCAAACAAGGCTAATGCATCGATGATTTTCGCACAAAGTGCGCTGACCCTACTTGAAGATGAGCACGATACTTGACAGTCGTCAATCTGAAGGCACCTTTTCACTGTTCCAAAGCGTGTTAAGTTGAGAAGTAAATCCAGTGAAGAGACAGTCACCACCATCTTTCAGCAAATATGGAGGAAGGTCATCAGGCACAGCGGCCTTGTTTCATTTCAACACGAGAAGCTCAAGTCGAACCTCTTCCAAAGTAGGAGCTGTAACAGCTACTTCCCAAGTCGGCTCAGGTGCTTTGGCAAGCAGAAGTGTCGCAGCACGTCTGCTGAACTGCTCTCCAAAACGTTCCGCTTAAGGGATAGTCGAAGATGTTGAGGGTGAATCAACTGTCCATCTTTCCCAACTATTGTCTCGCTAACTGTTGGCTTTCGCAGACGCGTGTTCCGGATGAACTGGAATAGCACCCAGCTGTTCCCAATAGCCCCAGCATTCTCTATCTCACGGGCCCTTGCCATCCACCAACGTTCCCGGTCGATTCGAAGACTCCTTGTCAGATGGCGTTTCAGAGGGTTCCGAACACGCTGAGACTCAGTGCCTTAGAGGATCCATTCACAGTTACGACGTCTCAAGTTGGGTGCACAGTAGGCGCTAAAGGTACTCTTCATGACACATTCGAGACGATCCCAGTCACCGATCGGTTCACCAACCTCATTCATCACTGACGTTTGGTGGGCCAATTCATGGTGATTTTGCTGTGCTGCGTTCTGGGAGTTCAAGTTGCAGTTAAGGTTAGAAGATAGGCGCTACTTTGAAGCGGTGAGAGTGAGTGCCAAGCGTGCGCTCACTACAGCATAGTCGGAATCCATTCGCGTGCTCCAAATTGGCCGACAGTCTTGGACTGATGTGCGCCATCTGTAGCTGATTGCAATATGGTCAATATGGGTCTAGACCATTTGGTGACACGGTATGAACATTTGTGCTGGAAAGCAGTACTGATAAGGCAAAGGATGTGGACGGTGCACAGTTGCAGGAATCGATCACCATTGTCTATTCGGCGGACACCGACTTCGGAGCAGTCTGAAAGACGACCCACCTGGGTATTCATGTTACTAACAACAATCACGTTAGTATTCTACACCACGCGAAAAAGAGATGAGAGCTGTTGATAGAAATCGCCTTTGATATTCTCCAAGCTACAGTTAGTAGAGGCATAAACTCAGATGATGAAAAGGCATCTTGTCTTCAGATGGCGCTTATTACCTCCAATAGAGATTCGAAGCCGAACCGCACACATGCGGTCGTTCATCGTTATTCAGTCAGGCAGAGTGCCTTCAGCATGTTTGTTGAGAGCAATACCACCACCGCAAATACTTTGAGTCAGTGACTCAGTATCGCCAGAGACACGAAGAGTGTAGTCATCGTCGTCAGAATCAGAAACAAAAAGTCGTAGATCTGTCACGACACTGTTAGCTTGTATGCGTGTTTCGGAGATACAGCACACATCAATAACAAGAGAGTGGAGAGTGAGAGTCAGTGCTTTTTGTTGGCCGATCTGACTAAGAATACAGATGTTAA